AAAATTATGAAATAAACAGATGTAGAGTACTATATTTGAAACTTTGCTCTTTGTTGAAATCAATTTTTATCAGATGTTGTAAAACCATTCAAAAGAGAAGTAAATATGGATAAAACATATGAAACTATACAAAGGGAAATATAAAATAGAAGTGTTAATTAAAATTATAATGGTATCATAAATACATTAAGGTAACTAAGAAGTAAAATTTGAAGGTTCATGAGGCCAGTTAAGATAAGACAGAGGGATATGATTTAAATGTTACATATGAATTATTTTTAAAACATAATGTGAGAATCCAATCAATAATAATGTGAAGTAAATATTAACATAAAGTTGAAGTTTTAGGAAAACAGTTTTTTTGACTTTTTTATCCACCGTGTCTTAGAAAGTGGATTCAATATGGGATTTTTTTCTGCTAGTCAAGTAATGGAATAAATATGACCACATACATTCTCAGAGAAAAACAATACTCTCCATTCTGCTTCTTTAAGTAATAATTTTATAAAATATGAAATTACTTTTTCTCTCATGTTCAGAAAACAACTCTATCATATAACATATGCATTTTTGAGTTGACATATATCAGCATCATATAGAAGACTTAGTATTCAATCATTCACCTTTTATGTTTTTGTGAGATTCTTCTCTATTGTGAGTACACTTTAAGTCCCTGGCATGATCTGCTGTGGGTAAAGCCACTTTATTCTTGCTAGATTACTAAAACTCACCCCACATTTTCCTCTAGCCACACCAAGTCAGAGAGTTCATCTATACATTGAGGTACAGCGATATTTCATAGCTTCTGACTCAGTTATTCAAATCTCTCACCAGCCATAACAATGAGCTACTATCATTATGCTATAAGAACATATCTCTGTATTCCAACCTCTCAAAAATAATTATATTTTTAAGAAGTGCCTACATTATTTGAACCTTATTCCTGAGGTATTTGTTTTGTGAAGGTGTGGTGTTTTTTCTTTGCAATGTAATGTTAAATTTTTTGGATTTTATTTTTAACCTTAATGCATTTGTCAGAGATAACTGGTAATAATAATGTAGTTTACTATGATGTTTTAGAATTTAAAATTTTAAAAAGGTATCACATAAACATTATAGAATTTTAACATTATTTAAAATATTACAATGAACATGTATGAAGGAATTATGCATGATTAAATATATCAAGCTATCCACTTATATTATTCAAGTCCTCAATTTTCCTCATTAATTTTTTTGTCAAAGACATAAATTTATATTTTTCTACATTAATTGTGATCTTTAAAATTTTTTCTTGGTTGTAAAGAGTATTATATGAATAATAATATTCTGCTATGTTAGCTAACACTTCTTTTCTCTTTTATGACCTTGTTCTTACATGGTTTTGCCCCTTTCAAAGTAAAACACTATCTCAAGTAAAAGCTTTTATAATCAAACTATAAAATATTAGCCTTTGGACTTTAAGTCCAAAGCCTAGACAAAAAAAATAAAATATAATAACAGATATGTGGCAAAGAAAATATGTAAAGGTGGGAGTGGTTTTCTCCTGATAATAGAAGATAAAGATTCTCCGGACTGGAAGAGGGAAAAGGATTGAGTAGAAATCAAGAGATATATTCTCTTGATCTGCTCTGTATCTTAAATAAGGGACTCTGAACATTTAAGTTTTATTCTAGTGGGTGAAAGGATACATATTGAAAACTTTCAATGTGTTTCAGGTACCTTAGAGAAGATGGTCAATCTACTTCAGGTACAAAGGAGGAACAAGAGCATACTGATGCCTGCAGTAGTGGAAGATGCAGCTCCATTTATTGCTTGGGCAGATTACTTGGCCCCACATCACCTCACAGAGTTTCTCTATATCCACTGTTGACCCAAGTCGACATGTGGAGCATGTGCAGAAACTAGAAGCTCATGTCCAAAGGTGATCTTTTTCCCATTAGTATACATTAGCATAATAAAAATCACACCCACCAGTACCATGACAGTTTATAAATTCCATGACAACCACTGGAAGTTACCCTATAAGGATAAAATTGGGGAGGGCCCTTAGCTCTAAGAACTCTTCACTCTTTCCCCAGGAAAATAATGACTATTCTGCCTACCATTTAATATATCATGAGGTGTAGACATAAAAGTAGAAGGGTGGTAAAACCCTTGTGGTCTTCTCACCTTCAGAGATAGACCCATTTCCCTTCAGGAAATGTATTTTTGCTTTCTATCCTGCAAAGCCTGCAATCAAAGCTGCTTGTGTAGAAGTGCTAAGAGTCTGTCATCACTCCTTTGCACTGGCCCTTGCCTGTGATTTTTCTAATCAAGGAGCCAAAGAACCAGGAGAACACCCCTCAGAAATCAACCCTGACAATCTCATGACCCTTGTTTAGACAATTCTGTTGAGCCATCTTCTGTGGTTTAAGATACTAGAAGACAAACAGCAAAGCACATTTTTCTGCCCTTTTGATTACTGGCTTCCACAGGAATGCAGATTTTTTTTTTTTATTTCATCATATTATGGAGGTACAAATATTGTTAGGGTTACAAATATTGCTCCTGCCCCCACCCTCCCCCTGAAATGTCCAATCCCCTGGTGGTGTGCATCACACACGGTATGGAAACATACATCCCTTTCCTCCTCCCCACTCCTGCCTGTCCACCACCTGCTAAAAGTTTGGTTTTTTTTTTAACATTTTGGTTACATTATATATCTTTGCCTCTCCCTAAGAAGGATTAGAGTTATGCCCTCTGCCTCCAAAATGCTCATCCCATCCCTGAGATTGGGTCCCCCCCACACCACCGAATCTCTGGTGGGTATTGCCACCATTTGAAAACCGAAGTTTAAATCAGTCAGTACCAATTTGATGGCGAGTTTTAATGCCCCCAAATGGTAGAATGTTTTAAAGACACAACTTGTACAACATTCCATTGCCCTTTTGTAGACCTTTACCTCTGTTACATATTGATTACATTTAAATTATATCTAAACTATATTGACTATTTTTATTTCAGTTTTTTAAATTTCTGTTTTATTTATATAAGTAGCACATGGATATAATCTTGATATAAAAATTAAGTAGTACAAATAAAATTAATGTTACCCATGGATTAGCCTCAATTCCCAAAACATTCTCCTTCACAGAAGGTTAGTATTGTATTCAATGAGGAGTTATGGTATCTAGATATTTTTATTTATATTTAAAATTTTACATGTGCATATTTACATGTATACACATCCACGAAGAGTTTTGATTTGTCAATATTTCCCCTAAATGAGAGAAAACAATACAAAATTTTCAACTCCATTTTGTCACTTAATACAACTTTAAAATTTTTCATGTCAGTTCATAGACTTTTACACATTTTCAACGTAATACCTTGTACTTCTTAGTATAGATGTTAAATAACAATTTCATACTCATAAGCATTAGATTGTCTCTAATGTTTTACTTTACATATAATTATGCAAAGAATATCCTTTACTAAGTTTGTTTTCATCTCTACACATCTGTCCATTTACCATTATTATCACAACATATTAATATAATACAGTGACCAACAGACAGTAAGTAAAACAGAGCCCAAATTATCAAAATCTTTGGAATGGTCAAAACATTTAATGTATTAACAAAGCATTAAATATTTATTTAAATATGACATGTGCTTTATAAAAATTACTAGCCAGTAATAAATAAAACATCAACAGTATTATAGAGATTCTAATTGAAAGCACTCTTGGATGTCTAAATGATTGAAGTGATTTTTTGATAGTAATGTGATAGAATTGGATTCTATGTATTCATATTTTTAAATGCAACTTGATTTCTTGAACCACAAATTTATTTTTCTTCAAAATACAGGGAAACAATTATTTTAAGAGGTTCCATGTATGAACCAGAGTCTCCTAGCCTTTAAAAACGTTGATGGTAATTTTCAATATCATCTAAAGGTAAGCAGAAGTGCATACAGGGGTCTATTTTTGATAATGAGAAGCCATAGTTTAAATATTGATCCTATAGAAGAAGGCAGAAAATCCTAGACATAGTTAAGATAAACATAATGCAAGTGCTAATAGAGGAAGATGCCGTTTTCAGTTGACATTTTCTAACTTTTGATTTCCTAGATTTTCTAGTTAGTGCCTTAAAATATGTGGTTTGAGCATTTTGACAGGGGAATATAAATTAGTTGTGAACTACTGTTGGCTTCTATGAATGACACAATTGACCCTAGGCATGGCTAATTGGGACACATACCCTTGCGCTCCAAGCAGCAGACATCCTGACAGAGGTTCCAAAAGGCCAATCAGAGTAATAAAAAATGTGGATGGGGAAGCCCTTTGAGGTGAAAAAACAAAGGAAAAAGAAATCCAGGATAGGAGCTCATTCACATTTAATCAATACAAACCTCCTCCTTTCTTACCAATTAAATTTAGTACACCAGTTGTATCCTTCTCACATCCTGTTTTGCTTAACGGTTGCCTTTTCCTGGTTTATCTTTGTCTTCAAGGATTTTCCTCTTTAGCCATTTTAGGAATATTTCAGTGAATTGGAGAGGAGGGGTATCAGAATTTAGTTTGGGAGATCGGTTGTGAGTTATATCTCTGATTTGTTCATTATAATTTTCTCAAGGTTCCATGAGATGACATTGCCCTTAAGTTTAGTTTCAAAAAGTCCTTGACTATGTCAGCAATGCCAAAGTAATCAGTCAAATCCAACCCTCTTAAATATTTAGCTTAGGGTATAATTAGTAGGACATTCAGTATTGTGTTGTAACTTGGGTATGAGGAAAATATTTTCAGTGAGATCAATTCCAATCCAGATAAGAAATCACTTCGATAACATAATACTCCAGCCATTTTTTAAAGATTGATTCAGAGATTCCATTATTCTGCTTGGGTTGCCATAATAGAACACCACAGATCAAGTGGCTTAAAGCATAGAAATTTATTTTCTCACAATTCTGAAACTTAAAACTGCAAAATCAAAGTGCCAGCAGTATTGGTTTAAGATGGTATTTTCTCTTTGACTTGTAGACAGATATGTTTTGGCCGTGTACTCACATTGCCTTTTCTCCATGCATGCAGAAAGAGAAAGAATCCTGGAGTCTCTTTCTTTTCTTATGAGGACATCAGTGCTGTCTAATTCCATTCTTATGAGCTCATTTAACCTTAATTTCCTCCCTTAAGGACCTATCTTCAAATATAGCCACATTGGAGTCAGGGTTTCAACACATGAATTCTGGGGAAAGACAATTCAATCAATAATAGAGGTGAGACTAAAAATAATTTACATTTTTTTAAATTTTTGAGACAGAATCTCATTCTGTTTCCCAGGCTGCAGTGCACTTACTTCAGTGTAATCTTGAACTTCTGGGCTCAAGTGATCCTCCTCCCTCAGTCTCCTGGGTAACTAGGACTACAGGTGCGCACCATCACATCCAGCTAACTTTTAAAAAATAATTTTTGGTAGAGATGGGGTCCTTCTGTGCTACCCAGGTTGGTCTCAAACTCCTGACCTCAAGTGATCTAGGCTTCCCAAATGCTGAGATTACAGATGTGAGCCAGCACACCCAGCCAAAACATTTTATAATTGTTATATGATCGCCCCAACAACTCAGACTGGGGGACAGTAATGACCACAACAGTGCCATGAAAGCCTCAGTAAAGTCTTTGTAAACTGATCTTTATTCTAAATAGAATTAGTTTATTGACTGCTTTGGTCTTATTGATCCATAGTCCAAATTTGTCTACTATCATTAAACTTATACCCACATTAACTCCTTAAAAGTAATATTTACTTCTACAAACTTAAAACTTATCAAGTCAAATGCACAAAAGCTTCTATATAGCATAATGGTAATAACAGTAATGCTTCTCAGCTGGATGCTGCTATAATCTCCAGGTAATAGACATAGTCATCAAAAATTATTACTCTTGGAAAAAAATTAACTGTATCAATATCCTTTAAATGAAATGCATACTATAAGAAAGTTCTAATTTCTTTTCATTAGTCGAACATCCAATTTTCTAATTAAAAAGTAACCTTTTCCTATTACTAATATAGCTTACACTATTATTATCTCTTAGAATAGGCTTTGCAATTTTCTTTTTCTTGGGTTTACTATGATCCCTTCATCAAACTTAATGTATTTTCTATTTAAATTTTCAACAAAATATGCTAATATTTATCTGCAAGGTTAACTAGTCTCACATTTAAGAAAATACAAAAATATTTATGCAAATGCTTTATTTTTTTTACTATTTTAAACATAGTGATGTTTCAGCTGAGAGTTTAACATTACATCTCCACTAGTTATATTACATTTTCCATAAATCCTACTTTGTAATGCTTCTCTATTTAGATTTTAATAATAATGTAAATCTTATCTTCACAGTGATGATAGTGGACTATCAAGTACTTCTTTAGCAGTAAAGTTTATAATTTTTTTTTCCAAAAATAATTCACTATTGAAATGGATTTTTAACTTCTGCCTAACTCTAACCAGACTGCCAGTGGAGAGAATAAAGCTGTGACAGGTGTCAAAGAGAGTAATCATCTGCTGTTGAACCACTGACATATACCATTAAATTTGGGGCATGATGGTTAAGAGCTGTCTCTAGAGGTAGATCACCTGGACTTTAATTCTGGGTCTTGCAATTATATCTGGCCTCTCTGTAAACACAGGTCCCACGTCCAAGGATTCATCCAGCTACAGAAGGAAAACATTTGAAAAAAATGTGCATCTACTGCACATATGTACTTTTTTGCTTGGCATTATTCCCTAAACAATACACTATTAACAGCTATTTATATAGCATTTATATTGTATTAGATATTGTAAGTAGTCTAGAGATGATATGGGGGATATGTATAGGCTATATGTAAATACTACACCTTTTCATATAAGGGAATTGAGCCTCAGAAGATTTTGGTGTGGGACCAATCCCTCATGAATACTGAGGGAGAGCATTAACTGTGTATCCTGGGATGAATTTGTCTTCTCCTTCATAAAAGATATTGATATATAAAGAGAGGACCTGTGTTTGGGACTTTATTGTTATGAGATATATCAGCTCTCTTGTGACCATGATGAAAGCCTGAAGATGAAAACATAAAATGTTGACCAAAATCTCCCCTTTGCACAACTCATCATTTTATAAATGCTACCCCATTGTCACCAGGAATCATTGAAAGACACAGACATTTCACCATTTTGGAATCGAAAACTTACTCTGCTGTTTCTACCTGCAAATTGCCCCCAAAACTTTGCCAAATTATTATATATCTTCATTTTCAATTTAAAACATGGTCAATATTTGTGTCTATTAGGTACATTGTATGTTACAGACTGGAGGACACATACTCATGTATGGTCCTTACGGGTGTCATGGACCCTTAAACTTACCCCTATTCAGTTATAGTGTTTGAACTAGGATATGGTGGAGGGAGAGGGGCTATGAGAGGAAAGAAGATGGAAAGGGAGGGAGAAGGAAGAGGAAGATTAGATTGGGAAAAAAAAAAGTCTAATCATGCAAATACACTATTGTTGAATTTTGCTTAGGGCAAGCCTTGAAAAAAGCTATCAGCTAGGAAATTCATTAAAAGTAGCCTGAATTCCCTTAATACATATTTTTAAATTGAGGAAATAGTAGAGAGCATATAAAATAGATACAATATTCTGACTTCAGTAATTACAAGTTGATTTGTCCTTTGAGATTAAAGTTGTTTTCTCCTACTTTCATTTATAATAAAAGCTTATTTTTATGACATTTAACAAAATGCAATTATCATTAATTCCTTGAAAAAAAATTAGAAGTAATTAATCCAGTTTAAGACAGATATCTTATCTTAATGTCTTAATGTAAATATGAGTTTCAATTTCAAAAATTAAAAAACAAATTCAGAACTCATTTTTCCATTGCTAAAGGAAAATAATCACTATTACCTAGATATCAGTTTAAAAAGGAACAAAATATATATGGAGTTATTAATTAATAAAATGTATTATAAATATTACATTGATTATTTAATATTTTCATTAAATTGCATGTATGAAGTACAATTTTATATATAATTATGAATACTAGTGTTTCTAAGGTTATAGCACATGCCATGTGCCATTCTTCAATAGCTTTTGCTCTATACATAATTGAGAAGAGTATGTTGTGATGGGAAAATGGGAGAACCTATAACCAGATCCAGGTTTTAGTTACTATTCCTTCATCTATTAACTGCATGGTACGATTAGACAAGTCAACATAGCCAATTGGGATCTCTGTTTTATAAAACTACTGACAGTAATGCTCATTCAATGTCCTAGTCAGTTTGGGCTGCTAAAGCAAAGTGCCATGGACTAGGTTGGCTTATAAACAATGGAGATTTATTTTTCACAGTTCTGGAGGCCAGAAGTCCCAGATAAGGGTACCAGAATTGTCAGGTTCTGATAAAGTCCATTTTATAGATTATATACTGTCTTCTGGCATTCTTACATGACAAGAAGAGAGTGAGAGCTCTTTTGGATCTATATTATAATGGCACTATTTCCATTCATGAAGGCTCCACCCATATGACCTAATTACCTCTTAAATACCCCACCTTCTATTATCATCACAATGGGGGTTAAGATTTGTGGAGGGAATTAAACATTTAGTCCATTGCATTCAATAAAATATGAGAATGCAAGATAGGTGAAAGTAATTACTAGATTTCTAACATCCAAATAATATTGATTTCCTTTCCTCTTTCCATCAGATCATATTATCCTGAGACACTGATACCTCTAAACATGGACTATTCCTTCCCCCCTTATTTTTAGTTATCACTAAAGAAGAAAAAGGAAACCTGTTACAGATTTTGTGCCTACCATTATATGCAAAGCTTTAAACATTATAACCTGTCTAAGTCACTCAGCATACTTAAAAGAAAAACATTTTTCCTACCCATTAACTGAGATCTAAAAATTTAATGAAATTTCTCAGTTTAGCCAAAATGATCAAAGTAAGATTCACTCCAACCATTTAATTTCAATTCTAGCATCTGCAATTTACAATGCTTTATTGTCCAAGCAATCAATCTTTTGCTCTCTAAAGAAGAAAGAAAATAGGGGTGGATAATTATATCAGAGTAAACAGGATTAAAATTTATGGATATAGTATAATTTGAGAGAGAAAGAGGATATCAATGAGTAAATGAAAATGAAGAATTTTCTATCAGAAGTGCCATATTTTATGTATTTCAAATGATCTAGGAATATTAAACTTGATGTAGAAATTGCATACCTTGGAAACCATTCTTTTTTTAAATTTCAGAATATCATGGGGGTACAATCATTAAGGTTACATACATTGCCCTTGTCTCCCCTCCCTCCTCGAGGCAGAGCTTCAAGCACACCATCCCCCAGACGGTGTGCATCACACTCACTATGTATGTATATACCGATCCCCACTCCCCCCTTCCACCTGCCCCACACCCAACAAATGTTTGTTTCTCTTTTTTTCTTAACATTTTGGTTACATTTTATATCTTTGCCTCTCCCTAGCAAGGGTTAGAGGTATGCCCTTCCCTGACACAATGTTCACCACATCCCACAAATGTGGGACTACCCCTTCAACCCCCGAATCCCTGGTGAATACCACCCTTTGAGCACCATAGGGTTAATAATCAGTCAGTACCAATTTGATGGCTAGTATATATGGAGCCCATTATTCTGATCTTGTGTCACCTCACTTTGGATAATGGGCTTAAACTCAATCCAGGATAATATAAGCGGTGCTAGCTCACTGTCGTTTCTTAGAATTGAGTAATATTCCATTGTAAACATATACCATTCAACCCAGCAGTAGCATTATTAGGCATCTACCCAAAAGAGTATAAGACATTCTATTATAAAGACATCTGCACCCGAATGTTTATGGCAACGCAATTCACTATAGCAAGGACATGGAAACAACCCAAATGTCCATCAATTCATGAATGGAAACCATTCTTTTGAATAGATTATGGGAACAATGGAGTGGATATTTCTTGGTATCAAAATAACATGAAAAGCCTCACTACCCTGTAGGAATCTAGCTTGATGTTATCAATAAAATTCAATAGTTATTTTATCCTTAAAATATTAGTAAATGGACTAATTACTTTGATAATAGTAATAGCTACTGCCCACTTCTCTAATAAACCTTAATTTGGAGGAAATTAAAGTAGGACTACTAGAAAGATATTGTACTTTTTCCATATTTACAACAAAATTTCTCCAGCTGTTTTTAAAATAACTCTAAAAGGGTTTAAATTTATTGCTTTTCAAAGGATTTTCAAAACATTTTTCCATGAAAGGAGTGTATTGCTAAATACATTTAGGGAAGTTTTATTGTCTTCAATTAATTGAAACACTTTTAACTTAGTAACTTTTAAATCATCAATTATTTGTGCAGATTTTTTCACATACATAAAATTAGTTACTGTCTTATTTCTGATAATAAATATAACATAAATACATGAGAGAATATGGAAAATGGAAATACAGAAATTCTATGCAATTTAAATAAACAGATTATATGCCTACACTCAAAAGCTAAAATTATTACATTTCTATGAAAAAGATAGGAGAATATAATTATGACCATGAGTTAAGCAAAAATTTTTTAGGATAGGATACAAAAAACATAAACCATAAAAGATCAAAAAAGGATGAATTAGATATCATTAAAATTTAAAACTTCTGCCCTTCAAAAAAATGATGAAGAAAATTAAAAGGGAATTAGACTCAGAGAAAATATTAATGGTATACATATTTAAAAAAACATATTAACATTTTAAAATATAAAATCTTGGAAAATAATTACTATTATATTTATTATTGCTTTTATAAGTAATATACCATTGATAATGGAACATCATTTTATTTTAGTGAGATATTTCATAACTTTATATTAAACCTACATTTAATGATAACTAATACAAATTATGTCATACAATTAGTAATACAAAATAGCACAAATTCAATTAGAATTATGTTTGAAAAAATTTAGATTTAAAAGTGAATACCTCAAATTTCAGATGTTGTTAGATATTGGCTGATTAGACACTTGAAATAATTTATTCCGATATTTGAGTTAAGTCATATTTTTCACAATCATGGAATTTCTAGGAAGAAAAGAGAGTGAAGGAGGGAAGTGGGAAGTAGAAAATTAGAAAAATAGAAAAATAGTGTTTATTAATTTTCCAATGAGTTCTCAGTGTTTGTAGGCAGTAGTTAATTGAAAGATTTCCAATGGTGTCAAAGGAAATAACATGTCATTTTGACACAAGGTTGTTAATGAAGTCCACCTTTTTAATTAATCCCCTGAATGTTGATGATTGCAAACACTAATATTTTAGTGTTTTTTTAATCTTAGATATGAACAATGTGCTATAATGAAATTTAATTTAACTCCAACACTAAATTAAAAAAAACATTTTTTAATATCAACACTAAACATGTAAAATTATTTGTTAGATGTGTACAAATTCAATTAAGACCCACGAAACACAGTGAAGGTGCCATCTGGAGGAAACCTTCTGATCATTCAGATTTGCGCCTTAAATGAATTAATCATTGCCTGGATTGACATTTAGCTTGCAGGACAAGAACTCAGTCTCATCACCATCTAAGAGCTGTTTCAACTGGGCAATGTTAATTTCTACTGGTGCAGCTAAGAAGGACTAAGAAGAGAATTTGAAAGATAGCTATGAGCTACAACTTACAGGATATTAGAAAGGTGAGACAATCTGACTAATTCATACTTAATTTTTAAATAAGATACATTAGAAAACAAATAATCAGATATTGATCTTACAACAAAACAAAAAAGAAAGAAAAAAAGAAATATAACTTAACAAATCAGAAAAAGAAGCTACCAAGCTCTAACGATTGGAAATCATTAATAGCAAAATTTGCCAGGTACTTATAAAGCTAGGGCTGCAAGGAACCCTGCTCTGGGACAGGGACTAAGTGGGCACAGCCTTTGTCTGCTTCACAATGTGTATAGAATTTATCTATCTCTTATTCTGAAGGATTTAGATTTTTTTCTGATTGAGTTGATATGTTAAACTACTCTATGGTCATGCTGTGCAGAAACTCAAGTTATCATTTTAGGGACGAGGTGTTAATATCAATTTTCTTTATATTTAACATAAGCTGTTGTTCCTATATATGCAAGTCTATTTTCTTCTTTGAGAAAAGGATTTTACAGTTTTATTAAATTAGCATCATTTCTAAAAATTCATAATTCACTACTTTAAGGTAATTTGGACATCTCTCTCTTGATTTCACAATTCTTATTTCAAGGGGAAATCTTTCTTACCTTCCTTCCTAGACCTAATGGAGCCTGTGCTATTTGCCTCTTGGATGATCTAACAGTTTAATAATCACAAAAGCAAAATCATATGTGGCTTTTGGAAGTATGTATTAATTAATTGTTAATTAATTGTTAATTAATTTTCTATTGCTACATAATAAATTACCACAAATTTAGCAGCTTACAAAAATTTTTTTTTACTATTTCACAGTTCTGTAGGTCAGATGTTCAGGTGGGTTTGGTTGGTTTCTCTGGTCAGTATCTCAGACGACCTAGGCTCTCCTCTGGAGGCCCAAAGGAAAAATCCACTTTAAGCTCAGACACAGTGTTAGCAGAATCCAATATTAGCCGCTGTAGAGAAGGCAAAATTTTACCTCTTCTCTCTTAGGGTCTTAGGTTGGACCTGAGAATTAAATTGACATAAAACAAATTCACAGGTGAAAAGCATACAAATTTATGTACGTTTTACATGACAAGGGAAACTTCATAAGGCAATGAGGACCCAAAGAAATGTCACAACCCAAATGCTTTTTATTAGGTTTGAACAAAGAGAAGCAATTGTGGAAAATAACTAAATATGTGAGGAATTCAAAGGAATATAAGAATTATTTGACATGTTCTATTTGTACAGAATTCTCTTGGTTGTGACTCCCCATTGAGGAATTTATCTATTCTCTTAGTATAGGGAGGACATGGTCACACTAGAGATTTTATTTCCATTTTGCAGTGGGTAAAAAGGAGATTAGAATGCCCTTATTGCATCTGCTGTTTCTCAAGTGTCTTTAGCTCAAAGTTGTCTATATTTTGGGGTGGTAGATTTTGCCACAGTGATAAGTCTAAAGTCTCTGCTGCCTTGCTGGCTATTGAAGGCCACTCGCTGTTCCTTTAGACTACTCCTAAGAGACCTTCTTCTCATGTGACCTCTACCATCTTCAAATCAGAAATTGTGCATCAGGTTTTTCTCACAATTGGCGATCTCTCTGGCTTTCCATTTTGCCATCACCCAGAGAAAGTTCTCTGCTTTTAAAATGACTCGTGATTAAATCAGTCTCACCTGGAAAATTCTCCTATTTTAAGGTCAATTTCTTATTCACAGGTTCTGAGAATGAGAGCAAGGCATCTTTGGGATGCCATTCCATAATTTTGCCTACCACAATAGAAAAGCCAATTATTCACTAATTTAAAAAATAAATCTGAGATTCTATAACAGAAAATTCAAGATCAAAGACTTTATAGAGTTTATTGTAAAGTTTTGTTCATTTAAAGAAATTTAAAGAGCCAAGAAACTTTAAATGACTGCGTGAAATTAAAATCAAGTGATATTCGTTTGATTTGTTAAAATTAAAGTCTATACTATTCTTCTATTTTTATTTAAGAAAAGGATTGCATATCATAAAAAGAAAGATAAAAACTGTCCTGTTATAAGTAAATTCAGGAGAAATTAAGATTTCCAGGTTTGTATTATCACAGCATGGTATTGTATGCATGGTAGGTAATATTCATCTTTCAAATATATTTTTAAAAGTAAAATTTGAAATAATTCATTTTAGTGACAATAGACAGACATTGGAGATTTAAAGTGAGAAAAATTATTATTAGAAGCCATTTCTTTATATGAACTGATTTTCTTGTGAATATACTGCATTGAAAAATATAATGAGAGAAATCAAGCCACTCATGCTTAAAGTTATAACTTTCCAGGGAATTTTTATATTATGCACTCAACTCTAAAGAAGGAAATAATTATGTTTGAATAACATCATTTTTAAAGATTTGTTTTTATACCTATATGAAGATTATACTATTAATCCTGTCAGGTCATATGAGAAATCTCTCTTTGATATTATTCTCCTGCTTTTCTTAGCACTAATTATTAATATAAGGCAGACATGGATTGCAGGTTTATATCCCCCAAATACTTTTGTAAAATGACTCAAAAATAATATTTTATGTAGTTTTTTTTTTTTGCTATTTTAAGGTACACAATGTCACCAAAATTGTATTGTCAAATGTACCTAAATAGTTTATTTTATTTTATTTTATTTTTTCTCACTTTGTCACCCAGTTTGGATTGTAGTGGCATGATTATACCTCACTGTAATGTCAAACTCCTGAGCTCAAGCAATCCTTTCACTTCAGCTTCCCAAGTAGCTAGGACTATAAGTGCATGCCACCACACCTGGCTAATTTTTTTAAAAAAACATACTTAAGTATTTTGAAATCCTTGGATATAATATTGAATGTAGTATAGAACCCTGAGGCTCCATTATGCTTTAATTTTTTAATTTTTTTATTAATAGTAGCTAGAATGCTTTTAATTTTTTTTATTTCAGCATATTACAGGGATAGAAATGTTTCAGTTGTGTTTTTAAATACTATTATTAAAAGGTGATTATTTGTCTCATCAAACCCATACTATATCATCACATGCTAAATATAAGCACTTATTAGTTTTTATTGTTGTATACTGTAATAACATATAGTTTTCCATTTTTCCATTTTTTAAATGCATAATACAGTAGTATTAAGTACAGTCACAGTGTTGTACAACCATAACCACTATTTTTAAAACTGTTTTATTACCTGAAAGAAAAACTCTGTAAATCATTACACAATAACTCTCCCTGCTTCTTCATCCCAGGCCCTTCTTCCTTTTATTCTGCTTTCTGTTGCTATGAATTTGCCTATTCTAGATACTTCATCTAGGTGGAACCATACAATATTTGTCATTTTATATCTGGCTTGTTTCACTAAGCATAATGTTTTTAGAATTTATCACTGCTGCGGCATGTAGAAGAGCTTTATTCCTTTCATGTCATGGCTGAATAATATTCCCTTTTATGTGTGTATGTATCACATTTATTATCTTTCTATTGATGGACACTGGGATTGTTCCCACCTTTTGGCTGTTGTGAATAATGCTGCCATTGACATTGATGTCCAAATATCATGAATCCCTGTTTTCAATTATTTTAGGCATATACCTATGGATAAAATCGGTGGGTCAAGTGATAATTCTATGTTTCCTTTTCCGAAGGACTGACAAACTGTTTTCCATAGAGGCTGCAATATTTCATATTCCTACTAGCAATGCACAGTGTTCCAATTTCCCTACATCCATGCCAACTCCTGTTATTTCTGTGTTTTAAAAAATATCTACTACTGTGGGTGTGAAGTATTATTCTAATTTTGATTTGTGTACACCTAATAACTAATATGTTGAGCATTTTTTTGTGTGCTTACTGGTCATTTATATATCTTCTTTGGAGAACTGATTATTCAAGTCCTTGCCCATCTTTTGATTGAGTTGTTTGTTTTTGGTTGTTGTTCAGTTTTAGGAACTCTTCAAATATTCTGTATATTAGTCTCCTGTCAGCTACATTCAAATATTTCCTGTCATTCTGTGGGTTGCTTTTTTACTCTATTGATAATATCCTTTGATGCACACAAGTTTTTAAAATTTGCATAAGTACAATTTATTATTTGTACTTTTCTTACATGTTTTTGGTGTCATATCTAACAAAAAATTGCCAAATCTAAGCTTTTCCCCATGTTCTCGCTTAAGAATTTTATAGTGTTAGCTCTTAAGTTCAGGTCTATTGTCCTTTTGAGTTGATTTTTTTTTTTTTTTTACGTGGTGTAGGTGATGGCCCAATTTCATTCTTTTGCATGTGGATATCCAGTTTTCACAGCACCATTTATTGAAGGAATTTTAATGTAGCTAACTCTACAAGTCTCATTTTTCTACTCCTCATGAATTGCTGAATTTTGCTTGTTGAAGGTTGATACTGTTTGTGACTTTTCCTTTTTGCAAAATGTGTATTATTTGCTGTGTGAGGTCACTGAGATTTCCCTTCCATTATCTTTATGATTATCTAGTAATCTGACAAATATTTTCTTAAATGTCTAGCTTCAAAAAGGGGAAGAGAAGTAAGTGCACTGGCCTTTTAAATCTCCCTATAGATGCCACTGAAGAAAGCTGCTGTGTCATAGAGGCCACCAGCCGGCTACTCCAGGAATATGGGCCACTTAGCCTACAGCCTGGGTGGGAATGAGGAATGGAGAGTGGTAGCTTGCTGGAGGACACCGCTTCTCCTCCTTTATAAAAACAGTCTAACATCCTCCAATTGTTAAATATGTCAGTCAGGCCTTCAGAGTTACTAAATGTTTGTACCAATCTCTCCCCAAATCAAAGATTATTTTGTTGGAGACACCTATCCTCAGACTTTCCTACTCAACCATTTTGCATGATGTCATTCTTCTTTTATCAGTGGTTTTATAAACACAATTTCCATAATTTTCAAAGTTAATGGTAAAGAAAATGTTTAACAATTTTTCAATTAAATTAAAAACCTAAATTTTGAGAAAATTATTGCCCCCAAATTATGTATGATATATATTTATTTATACCTAAACATTGAGGAAAGCATTATCAAAATCTTACATTTTTCCTTTTTGACATTTATAAATATGTAAGATGGATTCTTGTGAGAAATGTAGTATGGTTATTATAAAGATATAAAGCATAATTGTTATGGTTACTACATCTTGAGCTCTCTGATGTATTTGAGCAATAATTTTTGGATTGGATCCAAGATCAGATTAAATCTCATAATTAACTGGACTGGATCCTGTTAGAGGCTTTAGGTAGGTATGGTTTGGAAATAAGTTCCTCCAAAGATAAAGGATTCCATGAGTCTGGGAATCCACTTCCTGAGACACTGGCTAAATTTATGTATAAAAATTATGGTCTGGGACTTGTATATTTTTGGAAAAATGGGTTATGGGTTAATTTTACTAAGGACAACTAAGAATCACAATTGGATTCCCTGAATTGGAAACCCTTTTCCTACCAATGAGATGGCTTTTACTTAGCATATTAAACTTCGAACTTCTGCATTTACTAAAACCACAAACTATGTATGGTGTTAAAAAAGTTAAAAAAAATAACTTTATAGAAATAAAATTTAGCAGATTTTATTTGAGCAAAGAATGATTCATGAAATAGGAAGCAATCTGAATCAGCAGATGTTCAGAGACATCCAACAGCAACATGAGCAGGCAGTATTTAATAGAAAGGAAAAGGAAGTGACATACAGAAAGTGCTTGACTGATAACAGCTCAGCATTTGCCATATACAGACATGGTCTGGTCAGTTGGCAGTCTGTAATTGGCTGAAGCTCTATATATACAATAATATACTCTTAAGTTAGGTTGCAGTTTGCTATGTAGAAACTCAAAGTACTAGAGCAATCTCAGTCTAAATTTAGTTTAATTTAACATTCTCTCCATTTTTTTCAGCTTCTCAATTTGAGAGAATGACCAAAATTTTGGACATTGACACCACTCTCTGTCACCATCATAATGGAAATTTTGCTCTCAGTATGGAATTCACAATTCTCAATAGTGAGTCAGCAGAGTGTTTCTTTCTGTTCTGTTTGTGTTTTTGATGCTCTAATTATAGTGAGAAAATTTGAAGTATAAAGGATGGCTGTATGTGAGCATTCAAGACTCTTGAGAAAATATGGCACACCAAGGAGACTATAATGATGGCTATCAGGAGAATAATACTAAGAGATTAAAGTATACTCCTTAACAGAAGCCTCCATGAACAAAATTGATGAAAATTAAATATATCAAAAATGAGCCAAAAGAGGCATCTGTTTTAACTAAGTAGCTTATTTGTTGATTTCTTACAAATGAGTTTTTACCATGTCAGACGGTTTTATACAAGTGCAGCAGGAGGTGTTACCTATTGCAGACTCCCCCTGCTCAGACATCAGATAGTCCAAAGTAATTCTGTTATCTAAAACAACTTTAGCAAGAGAATTTAAAAAGTTTTGCTGGGCAACTATGCCTTTTGCATTAGAGTCAGCTATACTTGCTAATGTTTGAGACAGATCTCTAATTATAAACTCATTTACTTTTATTCTAAGCCAGGGAAGAAGCATTCTACCAAAAGATGCCTACTTAGGGGAATTCTGCCTGTTGGCAAATTCCTCTTTATTCCATAGTGCAAATTAAGAAGTGTTCAGTTTCCAATTTGCTGTGGAGTAACAGTGATACCAGGTGGTTCTCAGTGAGTCCACACTTAACATAAAATTTAGGTCTTCAATGGTAATTTATTTCTTCATTTCAAGTGCATAGTACTGTTTATTAAATAGGTAATCATAGGTAATTTGACTTAAATCAATCTTATGGATTTCATTCTAATCACATATCATAACACTTTCAGTATTGGCTGAGTTATCACAAAAATCTGCCAAAGCATTTTTTTTTTTTTGTATTCAATTAATTCTTCTTCTGCTTCATGTTGGGCTAGCAGTTTTATGAAATGAACCAATGTTTTTCATTAGACTTCTGGGAATTTTTATCCAGTCCCCAATGATATTAATATTTTCTTAAAGTTATTAGAAACCTATTCTTGTCAGTCTTTTCCATGAATCTTCTGAAAGGTAAAACACTTAGGCTTGCGACAGCTTACATAGGTGCTTGTACCAGAGTAAACACTTAACTGTCTGTGAATAGATGACTTAAAATGGCCGTGCTTAAAAATATAAATTAATTGCCATAATCACAATTGTCAAGGAAATTTGGATATTTCTATTGTATGCAACATTTTAAGATAAAAAACTAGAATTATGAAAGATTTCTGAAAATTTCTGGAACACATATTAATCACACATGGGTACAAATATACCTGAGATAAGGTTTAGCACTTTATTATTTGACCATGTTTCACATATATCAAATAAGTCCAATTAGTTTAATATCTGTCTTTTTATAAGGATAGAGATCTTTTTTCAGATGTTTCAAAAACCCATCTGGAAAATTCCAAACTTAATTCAAGCTCAAGAAAAAGACTTAATTTAAAATTTAAATTGGGTAATTTTATCAAAAATATCAAAGGTTTAAAATAGAATCACAGGTCACTGTAAAATAATAGTCATTCATTTAACAAGAGTAATAATCTAAGGAATTCAAAGATAAATATAGAAAGTTACATAGTTGTAGGAAAAAATCTTAATTTTTTAACAGAGAGGACTTAATTTTCATAAGTAACCAAAGCCTAACAATGACAACATGAAGCACATGAAATTATCTTGGTAAAACATAGAATCTTTGTTTTCCAGTTCAATTACCCAAAAGATAAAGAAAAGACTTTCACAATGTCTTATTAAGAGCAGAAAAATACTCCAAGAAAATCTTGCTGTCATAGGACAAAATTCTAGTTTTGCTTTAGTATACTTTTGATATTAATGTTCAATTTTTAAAAAAAAAACTTATAAATACTTCTCCTCTCCTCAACCTAGCCAGCTTGCTCATATCCAAAAAGTCCTATCACCAATTTCTCTTTCATAATTTCAAATTTTCTTTTATCCTTTTGGGTTTTTGTCCCATATTTTTCCTTTTTCTGATTTTATAATAACCAGTCATTCTACTTTAAGACAAAAATTTCTTTCTTTTTCCCTTAACAAAAACCACATATTTTATGTCAGTTTCATTTACTAAAAATGTCTTAGTTTCCTTCATAAGAAATTTTTCCCTTCTTATTTATAGTTTTCAAATTTAATTTAATTTTTATTTTTAATTATTATGGGTATGTAATAGATATATATTTTTTTAGGCTACAGGTGATATGGGCATAAAATGTTATTATCAAATAACTTACCAGTATATTGAAGTAAATTCTTATTCAGCAATGGTGAGTCAGCATTTTATATATTAACATTTCTAATATCTTTAGAACATTTGCTTTATTGAAGTATAAATTTTCATGTTTATTAACAGACCCAAATATATTTATCTTTTCTAAATCATATTAAAAACAACAAAAATGTCAAAATTATATGAACATAAACTTTTGACCAGCAATTTTGTATTTCACCTTATTTTTAAATGATCTAGATATTAAAAGATATCATCTCATTTTATTTAACTTAGCAAAATTGCAAGGATGTAAGTTATCAAAGAGATTTATAAAGGTGTCTTTAAGCAGACATATGTAACACAAAATAAAGCTAGCCACCACCAGGTTATTTCCTTGTTAACTATTTTTACTGAGGGTACATGCATGTTAGGTAGTCATCACAAAAGCAAAAACCTAGAGTTAGATATATGATCATTTTCTTGTTTTACTGTTGTGCTTGATATACATGAAGTAATGGACATTTCACTTCAACTTTCATATTTATTCTTAACCTGAACTCCTAATTTCAAGATCTTAAATATCTGATAAATACAAAAGTTGTAAATCTACATTATACTTAATGCTGAAAACTCTGAGAAGATGCTGGTTTTAATTACATCAATCATATTCTTATTTACCAAAAAGATTCTTATTTACCAACTTATTACCCAAGTTATATGAACTTGAAAATCATTTGGGTTAGTTCTTTATTTAATGAGACAATACTTCCTTTATATGGGTACTAATTTTTCTTAAAGCCAATTAAATAAAACTCTTTTACAGTTTGATTTGCCAATATCATAGGAAGATAGAAAAATATCACACATATATAACATACATACAGATACACATAAGCATATAAACACATTTTATAGCCTTCATTTGAAAATTTTAGCCATGTGCCAAGTTCAATAATACAAATCTCATTAATTTGTTAAAGAATATCTGGATGCAAATTGTTTTGAGAGCCAATGAAATAACATTTCCTGACCAGAAGGCTAAAATTTTTGACTAATATTTCTGAAAAAGACTTTAAACATTTTGTTATTTGCTTTCTGTAGGAAATTTTTTAAAGAGGCAATCTTTGATTTAGATAATCTTTTAGATAAACTCAACATACCAGTTGCAGAAAGCATATCATTGCTTTTGTGGCATTTGGGGTACTTTATTTTCTTATGCACCTTGCAAGTAAACAATTTTATCTAGGCTAAAACTTCCTCAGTGTGGCAATTGTGATTCTTAGTTGTCCTTAGTAAAATTAACCCATAACCCATTTTTCCAAAAATATACAAGTCCCAGACCATAATTTTTATACATAAATTTAGCCAGTGTCTCAGGAAGTGGATTCCCAGACTCATGGAATCCTTTATCTTTGGAGGAACTTATTTCCAAACCATACCTACCTAAAGCCTCTAACAGGATCCAGTCCAGTTAATTATGAGATTTAATCTGATCTTGGATCCAATCCAAAAATTATTGCTCAAATACATCAGAGAGCTCAAGATGCAATTTTGTGGAGCTCAAGTCTGAGAGAGAACTCACCCATAATCACAGGTGCTGTGAGAGATCAATGGGCACAATTGGTTCTGGCAGGTACTTTTTCTTGGTCACTCAATCCCCATTGGGGTCACTGGAAGTTGAATTTGGATCCTAATTCTGACACTCCAAACTGTTGTGAAAGGAAACTTTAGATAATTTAAATTTAGCAGCATTTAATTAGGCAAAGCATGATTCACAAATCAGGGAGGATACTGAACCAGGTGAAGTTTGAAGAGATTTACTCAGCAAGCTAACAGGTAGTATTGATAGAAAGAAAAAGAAGTGCCACTTAAAACAGCTTGATTGATTACAGCTTGGCCTTTACCTCATATGTTTATAGTATGATCAGTTAGTAGCCTGTGGTTGACTGAAGTTTGGCTGCAGTGATTGGCTGAGACTCAGACAGTTGTCACAAGAATATTCTCTCCAGTTTGTTTACATACTAAGTTAGCTTACAGATTGTTATGTATGAACTCAAAGCATGGAGACAGGCTCAGGCCAAATTTAGCTTAATTTAACAATGGTTAACAAAAGCAATACTCTATTCCTGAGGATTAATAAGAAGTGTTTATTAAACATAGTGATGATTATAGGGAACATGTTACTAATTGTTACTATAATACTGTAAATTTAGCCAGCACAAAGCTAGACAAGACCTGGCAACTAAGAGACGTCAATGGGACCTAGAGATAGATGGTCATTGTTTTTATTTTTAATTTTATTGTGGTAAGAATACTTAATATGACATCAAGCCTCTTAATAGATTTTTAAGTGTACAGTACAACATTGTTATCTATAAGCACAATGTTATACAGCAGTTCCCTATAACCGAAATTTTATACCTGTTGATTAGCAACTCCTTTTGCCCTCCCCTGGTCCATGTAAACAACCTTTCTTTTCTTTCCTTTTTTGAGTTTGACTATTTTTGATACCTCATATAGGTGGAATCAAAGTATTTGTTCTCCTGTGACTAGCTTATTTTACTTAACATAATAATAGTAGTAGACTTTAATGACCTACTTTCAATGACAGAACCAATAGACAGAGAATCAACAATGAAACAGTGGACACGAACAACACTATAGATCACATATATAACATCATGTATATAACAGACATATGCAAACATTCAAGCCAACAATGGCAGAGTATATATTCTCCAGGATAACATCACATG